AATATTGTATACAAAAAGATAAAAATAAAAAGAGAGGATTAACCTCACTAATATATAAAAGCATTATTGAAAAAGAATATGGAAAAGGTGGAGGATCTAAAACAGTGTGGGAAACAAATTTAAATATTAATATACCTGAAGAAATTTGGACAGGAATCTGGAAAAAATATCCATATAAATCTATTTCAGCAAGTGCAAAAGAAATGGCTCTAAAGGTAGTGCATCAATGGCATCTATGCCCTACAAAACTACACAGAATTAATAAAGATATATCTGATAAATGTTGGAGGAACTGCGGACAAAAGGGAACTCTGGAACATATGTGGATCTCTTGCCCCAAAATAGAAACTTTTTGGCTGGAGGTAATTAAATGGATAGAAACACTGACTAATCAAAAAATAGAAATTAATGAAACATTATTGTTATTTTCATTATTCACGGAGGGAAATGAGAATCTACAATATAAAGAATTAATAGCAAATCTCATAGGCACCGCAAGATCTGAAATAGCTAAAAATTGGAAAAAAGCCCAAGATCTCTCACTGCAAGCATTCACAAGTAAAATATGGCATACATTGTTGATGGAAAAAATGACGAATAAAGTTAGAGTACATAGAGGGGAAATAAGCCATAGTAAATTCACGGAAAACTGGAAGCCATTATTAAAATATGCCGATAAAATAGTGACATGTGGTTTGAAAAGAGACTTTGATTGTTGGTCAATTTTTCTTTAAAAGGTGATGGGGAAAGGTATATATGTGATTTGGAGAAATGTGAGGAATAGTTTTGTATTTAATATTTGTAAAATGGTCGATTGTCTTTTCATTCTTTAGAAATAAAATAAAAAAAAATTAAAAAAAGAGGTTGAAATAGAGATTTAAGGGGAAAAGCTACAAAAATAATTCTTGAATTTGCTGTTGAAAATAATTATGATTTGTTAAAAATGCTATTGTAACCACATTTGTTTTGCAAAAGGTGCTATTCTTGATGTTTTTGCAAGGCTTGTAGTCTTCATATACCGTAAATGAGAGCCTTATACATTGAAGCAATGCTAATAATAATCAAGTGCCATCAAGTCAACTCTGACTTATGGCGACCCTTTCCAAGGGTTTCCTAGGTAGAGAGTACTCAGAGGTGGTTTCCCATTCTCTTCTTCTGAAAGGGTGACCTGGGACTGAGCAGCTTGTCCAAGGCCACACAAACTGGCTGTACTAGCAGGAGGCACCGTGGGGAATCGAACCCCATACCTGAACCACTGAGCTATCCAGAAGCAACTCTATAGTCCGACTTTTGGGAGCTTCATAAACAACAGCAGCTTATGAATGAAATGCCATCAGTTACACTGATTTTGCTTGTTTAGTTTTTATTATAGTTTAGGTTCACAGAGTCTCCCCCTCCCCTCACTTCTTTTTGTTTTAAAGGGCATTGGTTTTCAGGCATCTTTGGCTAAAAGAGATCCAAAGGATCATAACCTGGATCACAAGCAGGAGATCCAACAGTAAGTACAGCTGTCTATGAAATGGTGTGGCCAACCAACAACAAACAATGGGACGTTAGAACTAGTAGAGGAGCTTCCGTTAGCAACAGGGAAAAGTGTTTCCTCCTCTCTTCTGAAATCAATGGTTGGGCTTCAAAATCAGTTCTGCAGGGTTGGGGGAACCTCTGGAGCAGGGCAGAGGAGCAGAAGAAAAGTCCTGTTGTGTGAGTGAGTTGGGAGCTGGTTTACACAGCAACAAGGTTTTGCCCAGAATCTAGATCTAGATGTCACTAGAAATTATCCCTGTCTTGCCTGTTTAAACGATGTATTTTATTCCATGTTAGTGGCAGCTAGTGAGGTTTTCAGTATATTTCTTTCGTATTTAGATAACTAGATGTGCTTATGTATAAATAGCAATGAAGCATGAAAGCCAAGATCCATATTCCGGGTTCAGCAGCCATCTAGTTGACACTCACATCAGTAGAAGGTGACATTGCACAATAATTGTTTCTGTTAAGTTGCCAGGGAAGGCTTACCCTTGAATGCTGTTGACTCCCTTCCTTTTCAGGTGGAGGAAATCGTTCTTGTGGAGCCTGCTCTTTGGTATCCCAGTTTTGAGCTTAATGATTTACATGTTGATACCCTCTGGTGACCATCCTGAATCCATGGTGCTGGAGAAGAATGTCATTCCTGGATTATCTATTCTAAACCTTCTCTTCTTTGTCCTTTGCACTTTGGTTCAGGTACCGTTCTGGAGTATTTTATTTCTATCTTCAATTTCTCATGACATAATTGGCTATAAAAGGCTTGGTGGAGCCATCTAGGGAGAATAACAGGAATACAAACTGCTTTCTTCTGACAGGTCCTTGGTGGATGGTACTTCTATGTCCAAGCCTACAAGTCACTGAAGCACAAGATGGCCAACATGGATGTCCTTATCGTGCTGGCCACCTCGATAGCTTACGCCTACTCGTGCGCCATTTTGATAGTTGCCATTGCTGAAAAGGCAGAGCGAAGTCCTGTCACTTTTTTTGACACTCCTCCAATGCTGTTTGTGTTCATAGCTCTTGGGCGATGGCTGGAACATATAGCAAAGGTCAGTGTATCTCTTGACTGTCTAGCCATCCCACTTTTTATGCCCAACTCTTTCCCACAGGAGCTTGGGGCAGCTCCAAAGCTATTTAGAAACAGACTATTAAAATCACAAACTGCAGACAGATAATAAGTCATGGATGCTTGGTAATATACAGAATATACAGGTAACATACAGCAAGAGACAGAAAAAGCACGAAGGGGCAAGTGAGACACTTGGTGATCTGAAGGAGAAGGTGTGTGAGAGACAATGGAAGTCCATGTAATCTTAACATATAGGATATGGGAAGATATTTTAGATTTTAACAGTTGTGGCAATCTAGATGTTTTTGGCCTGCAACTCCAATCAATCTTTCATCATTGGCTTAGCTGACAAGAGTTGTTAGAACACAACATTCAGAGGCTCACAATTGCCTCCCTTTGTGTCTTAGATTGTGGGTAACTGACGTCGTGAGCACAGTTTTAGCTGCAGTACAGCGTTTTAACCACTGCGCCACGAGGCATTCATTCATTCAGAGGCTCACAGTTGCCTCCCTTTGTATCTTAGATTGTGGGTGACTGAACAGAAAATGGAGTATTGTGACGTCCAATCTGTAATCTGTCCCTCTTCCACAGAGCAAAACATCAGAGGCGCTTGCCAAATTAATCTCTCTTCAAGCTACAGAAGCTGTTGTAGTGACACTTGGACCTGACAATTGTATCATCAGGTATGTCAGTATGTTTTTGTGAATTTGTCATGAGCTCTTCCATGATATCTGAAAAGCACTTCAGAGGAAAATGTCCTATGTTGGGTGCTGCTAGCTTCTGGGAAGCAATGCTGCATTTAATACAGTATAATGTTTAAGAGCCATTGACTTTATAAAATGCCTGCTCCTTATGTGTTGATATGCACTAATCCAATAGCTTGCCTTTTTGGACTCTGCAGGGGGTGCAGTGGTTTGACTTAAGGGCTATCATGAACAACATTTGCAGATGTACTACTATACCACTCTATTGAGATGAAACGGGAAAGGAAGAGGATTGCAGGCATTTAAATTAGACTCTGCCAGTTGATATGGTTGTTTCAGTTTGCACCTGAGACTTTGCTGAGGACTTCTAGTAAACAAGGAATGCATGCCAGTTGATCCTGCCATTTTTGAAAATGTAAAATTCACCTGTAAGAATTGTCTCCTACCTTGGGCAAAACAAACAGGTTCCCTGGTAGGAAAGCAGAGCAAGAGAGAAACTAGACAGTTCTTATATGAGAAAAACCTAGAAATGATTGTGAATTAAGTGTTGTTGCTATTGTTGAGTCAAATGAAGTTGCTTTGCTTAATAGCAGTAGGGGACAGAGAATACATTCTTAGCTTCAGCTAGTGTAGAATTCTCTTCCTTCCTCTCATCTTTCAAAAAAAATGTACTTGCTGAATGCCCCCCCTAAGCTTGGGGAAAAAATGTTCAAAATCCTTTATAATGTACAATGTATACATTAGGGAGCTTAGCTGAGCTATAGGGCATCGAGGAATTCTGACCCCTATCCAAGTATCAACAGTGTTATCATTTTCCCTGGGGTGACTTTAGTGCATTAATGACCCAATGATTGGGTGCCACATTAAGCATATGGAAGTCTATCAGTCATTCTCCATACATGCTTTCAACTGCTGACTGTCTATCCTCCTCATTTTTTCCAAATAGTATTGGTAAAATGGAGTAACACATCTTTTAACTGTGAGGTTTGTTGGTTTTTTTAAATAGGGAGGAACAAGTGTCTGTTGAATTGGTCCAAAGAGGCGATATCGTCAAGGTGGTACCTGGAGGGAAATTCCCAGTGGATGGGAAAGTGATTGAAGGCAGTTCTATGGCAGATGAATCTCTCATCACTGGTAATGTCTGCCTTCTGTCATAATTCTGCAATACTGGGCTTCTGAGGCCAGGCCTGTGAATGGTGGAAAGAAGGATTGTTATGTAGGTGCATCAGGGAAAAGCAAAATAGTATTGGAGTGAATAAATATAACCCTAACTCTCACCCCCCTCCCATTTACATTGCATGCTCTGCTTCAGCTCATCCTTCAACCCTCAAGAGTAGCGGGCGGGGGGGGGATGTAGGGAACAGACTGTATTGATGTCTACCAACATGGACCAAAATCCTCTTCTGTAATTATGCCGGCAGGATGTTAACATCACCTTTGGAAGTGAATTGCCTCAGATTAAGAAATCAACATAGAGACATTATCTATTCAGTACTGAGATAACATACTACATAAGAACGTAAGAGGAGCCCTGCTGGATCAGGCCAAGGGCCCATCTCGTCCAGCTTCCTATATCCCCCAGTGGCCCCACCAGATGCCTCTGGGAGCACACGAGACCACAAGATCCCTGTCTCCTGATATCACTCCCCTGTATCTGGCATTTGAAGTACCTTCCTTTGAAGCCTGGAGACTATACATCCCCGCCATGGCTTGTAACTTGCAATGGACTTTTCCTCCAGAAATCTGTCCAATCCCCTTTTAAAGGCATCTAGGCCAGAGGCCATCACTACATCCTGTGGCAAGGTGTTCCACAAACTAAGAACACGCTGGGTAAAGAAATATTGACATGATTCAGCACACAACAGATAATGGCTAGATTGTCTGTTCCAGAAACAGTTAGATTTCACCTAATGCTTTTAATGAACTGTCATTGGTTGACAGTGTGAATATGCAGGATGCCCTTTTTTAAATCGTGCTTTAGTGCTAAACCACTAAGCTAAGAGAATTTTTTTTCTTAAAAACACAATTAACTAATTGCATTCCAGTTGTAGGCCCTTCCCAGTATGAGCTGAAGGCAGGCAAAAAGAGTATGGTTCACTTCCACACCACGACACAACCTGCACCGGGTGGTCATTTGGACATGTCCAACAAAGCCCCCAAATGACTGACATAGATTATCACACAATATAAAAGAAACATAAAATCATGTGACTGGGAAGACTGCAAAAAAGACAAACCCTGACATTTGAACAAAATGGTGGGCTGAGGAGTCAGCAATATGCCGATCTACCTCTCATTTCCCACCAGTCCAGGTGAGGCGCTTTCTGTGCTGAACTCGTGTCTGGACCTGATAATGGACTGGATGAGGGTTAATAAATTGAAACTCAATCCTGACAAGACAGAAGTGCTGTTAGTGGGTGCTTCGTTGGACAGGCTGGAGGGCCATTTCCCTGCCCTGAATGGGGTTACACTCCCCCTAAGGGACAGGATCCGCAGCTTGGGGGTGCTCCTGGACCCCAGTCTAACACTGGAACCCCAGGTGGACTCGGTGGCCAGGGGCGCCTTCCTTCAGCTGCGGAAATTATACCAGCTACGGCCCTGCCTGGACGAGCAGAGTCTCATGACAGTTACACATGCACTGGTAACATCCCGCATAGATTACTGCAATGCGCTTTACGTGGGGCTGCCTTTGAAGACGGTCCGGCGACTGCAACTGGTCCAGAATCGAGCGGCGCGGCTGGTGAGTGGTGTGGCCGCCAGGGAACATATCAAGCCGATTCTGTATAAGTTACATTGGTTACCAGTTGCTGCCCGGGCCCAATTCAAAGTGCTTGTTCTGACGTATAAAGCCCTAAACGGCTTGGGCCCTGGATACCTGAAGGACCGCCTCCTTCCATATGAACCTACCTGGCAGTTAAGATCTAGCCAGGGGCCCTTTTGAAAGAGCCGTTCCTCAAGGAGGTAAGAGGGACGGCTTACTGAGATTCGTCTGGCGCCGACGTTGATGACATTTCGGCGCCAGGTCAAAACCTTCCTGTTCCAGAAGGCTTTTAATTGAAATAACATCAACTGTGGGTCTTGATTATGGCAATTTTAATTGTATTTTAATTGTATTTTAATTGTATTTTAATAATTTTATCTTTTATTGTATTGAATTTTAATTGTTGTAAGCCGCCCAGAGACCTCTGGGTAGAGTGGGTGGCATATAAAACAAACAAACAAACAAACAACAACAACAACAACAACAATAATAATAATAGTAATAATAATAATAATGCCAAATGAACAGTTCTACTAATGATTAGTACTAGTATCTTGTAGCTGACAGAATGAATATCAAAAGAAGAACAAGAAACATGACACGAACAGCAGAACCAATATCTTGGCTAGTCAATTCCTAAATCTGAGCAGCTTAGCCTCCTTTTTATATTTGGTAATTTGGTCTATACTTAGAGAATCCCTGTTGCAGTGAAGTCCCATAGTAATTTATGCCACTGCATCCAAGTAATATCAAGAATTAGAACATAAACTTAGGCAGTACACACATTTTTGCTGCTGCAATTCTTACACTTTTTCAAGTAATGAGAGGTTTGGACACTGCCATTTGTTGAGTTTTTTAATTAGCAGTGTAATTGTAGGTTTTCAGAGCCTATAAAGTTTCTCCCTCTTTTGTTACTACAATTACCAAAGTATTACAGAAACAAAGAAAAAATGGGATGCCCACTGTGTTTTGAAGTTCAGACTGCTCCTCAGTTGTCATATTCAAGCAAAACTGTGATTTTGTAGAATTAATTTTGAAACTTGTGTGCTGCTGAAAAAGCTCTGGTGTCTTCTTTAGGGCTGGCACCATTGAGTTGTGGTTCTCTGAATATAGCAAAAGGTATCATCAGCAAAGAGAGTCATCTTGTGCTGTGTTCCATTAACTCTCGTACATTGAGCTTTGATCCAATTACGTCTGATATCAATGCAACTGTGGTTGTTAAAAAAAAATAACAAGGAGAGTAGGCAGGTTTTCTTGCTCCCCGCCTAATGGCAAGGACTCTGAATCTCATCTCTTCAGACATATTGTTGTTTAGTCGTTTAGTCGCGTCCGACTCTTCGTGACCCCATGGACCAGAGCACATCAGGCCCTCCTGTATTCCACTGCCTCCTGGAGTTGAGTCAAATTCATGTTGGTAGCTTTGATGACACTGTCCAACCATCTTGTCTTCTGTCGTCCCCTTTCCCTCCTGCCTTCACTCTTTCCCAAGCATCAGGATCTTTTCCAGGGAGTCTTCTCTTCTCATGAGATAACCAAAGTACTGGAGCCTCAGCTTCAGGATCTGTCCTTCCAGAGCACTCAGGCTTGATTTCCCTCAGAACGGATAGGTTTGTTCTCCTTTCAGTCTGGGGGACTCTCAAGAGCCTCCTCCAGACCACAATTCAAAGGCATCAATTCTTCTGCGGTCTGCTTTCTTTATGGTCCAGCTCTCACTTCCATACATCGCTACAGGAAAAATCATAGCTTTGACTATTCGGACTTTTGTTCGCAAGGTGCATCTGTGAATTCTTCAAGTGATGCAAGCCTCTGCCTAAACTGCATATTTTTTTACAGGGAGACATGGCTCTTCCACTCTGTCAAATGCTCTGAGAGCATTTAGTGATAAAAGCTCTGTGTTCTTTTCAGTTTCCTTTCCTATGTGGATTTTATGTAGGCTCCTCCCAGCTGCAGCTTCCACATTTCCTCCCCGCATGGATCCTACTTGACCTCTTGATACGTAATTCATGATGTAAAAAATTAATTATAAACCATTTCGTAACTTGATTTAATGATGCAGTTAAAGCAGCATGCTGCCACTTTATTGGAATCAACCCTCAATTTATCTATGGAACTATTTATCTGTGTAATTGTTCTTCACTGGTGCCCACCTTCCTTGACTTCTCCAAAGACACTGGGCAAAATTCTCTTCACATACAGTAACTTTGCAACATATAACCCAGATTGGGTGTTGGAAGCATCTAAGTTAAGATAATGAAAAGCTTCCTATATCCCTCCTTTTAGGTTGCCACGGGGAAGCCTTTGGGATTGTTGTGACAGGGGGCTGGGGAGCATTGAATAGCAAAAAATTTCTCCTGGACTGCCCCCCCCCCAGACCACTGGTGGTAATCCAACAGTGTTTCTTGTTTTGTTATTATAGGCTCCCCAACCTCACTCCCCATCCTGAGGCTCCCAAATGCTCCCCCAGGGCAAAAAGGAGCCCCTGGGAGCCTCAGAACCTAAAAAAAGGAGGGGGACAGGAAACTTCTAAATCCCTTTAATTAAGTGCTTCTGGTGCTTAATTGGAGTTTTGTGGTACAAAATCACGCAAACAGGGTGTTGGCCATTATTAAATAAGTCTTACCAGATGATCGGCCACTATGTAAATCCATACTTTATAGAATTTCTCAAGGAATCTACCCACCCTTCTACTTCCTCTTTTCTGATTAGATCATTAAACAACATTCTGTGTATCCCTCCAGGTTTGTTTGTTTTTACTTTGTTGGTCCACATTGGCATTAATAAAAGTGCAGCATTTCTCCTTTGCTCCCCGCTTCTGATCAGTGGGGATAAAAATTATCAGATTATTTGTTTAACTTTATCAGGGAGATTTTTTTAGCTCTTTTGTTATTTATGAGAGGTGACATTTCATTCCTTTTCTCTTCCTCTTCCTTTTTTCAGGGCTCTAGCCAGTAAATCTGAGATTTTGCTGCCAAACTCATAATGTTGACCAGTGAGATAAACCAAGGAAGTTTGAATCTTGTCTATTTCTAGATCTGTCTTTTTTTCCTTAATAATTGTCCCCAAATTCTATTTGTTAGGAAAACTCCTACTTAAAGGAAAATCCACTAGGAAAAGGTGCTACTTAGTCCCCAAATTCCACCACCTTTTGAATCCTACGCTTGATTCAAAACTTAGAAGGTAGCCTGGGTAGCCATGGGCAAGCTTCTAAGCCTAGATTTCTACTTATTCCCTTTTTTGGGGATCAGAAATTCCTTTGGCTGTGCACTTTGAGATTTGCACACCAGCCTGACCAGGAAGTACACCCAAATAACAAAAGTAGTTAGCACAGCTTCCTGGCTCAGGCACTTTCTTTAGGCAGCTCACCCTGTTCCTCCAAGACTCACATTTGGGTAAAATATTAAAGAGATTTATTGAAAAAGTGTAAAAAGTCAAAAAGCATAGAAAAACATACAATGGTACTGTCACTAGGCAAAAGCCCTTTCTCTTTACCTAAGAGGCTATATATGATATTAGCATCGGCACTAACATAATAAAAGCTTTCTAACTTCTTTCTACTTAGTTACTTAATTTGCACCTATTCCAACTAATGGCTACATTGCTTCTCTAGGTAATCATAGCTACCTGTCTCCTTCAGTCAACCCAAAAACACCTGAAGGCAAAACATCTGTCTCTCTCCTTCTCTGCAACCCACCCCCTTTTCTGTAATTTAAATCAAAGTGTCCCTCCAATGATGATGATGATGATATCCAATCAGCTTCAAGTTCCTGTTCAGAACTCCATGCCCTAAGATGTGATTTTTCCACAGTCCAGCCCCATAGTTCTCCTGGATGTCTGCTGAAACACAATTAAGATGGAATCTGGTGTTTCTCTTCCTCCACTAAGAGTAACCTTGGACTGGTCTGGAGTAGGCAGGGGGTCACAAAAAAATAAAGTCTCTTTCCCAAGTAGATAAACACCACACGTGGAAGTCTGAGAAACATTGCCTCAGACTTATGTATTTTGTTAATTTGCATTGTTAATTTGAGGGAAACTATGCTTTCTAGAAAGGTAGGGGAACTGATCAAGAATACAGTAATAGTTCAATAGACACACGGTGACAAACAAATCTGAAGAAAAAAGATGTTGCTTTTTTGGCTTCTGAATTCAAATCTTATTGTAGGACTGACCACGTCTTTGTCTTAACACACACAATAGGTTAAATCAACAAAATAGAAACAGGACTTTACTCTGTACTAGAACATGTGCCCTTATATTTAAATTCAAGAATGGACCACTATCAAGGTTGAATATCAGCTTGCTTTCATGCTGGATTTTTCATAGAGGAGGTCATAAACATTATTAACCAGTTTTATAAAGAAAGTGTCTCCCCTCATGCCTCACAAATTGCACAAGATTTGTTTAAAGGCATTCCTAAAAATCCAGATGTTCAACCCTAAATTCAGTTCCCTAAACAATTCACCAGACACACTTTGGGAGTGACTTGAGAATGTGTATAACCTCTCCCTGGGCAAAGGATTGCTATGTGATTGCTTGATTTGCCCAGCTGCTGAGGAGACATATGAGGTTGCTATGGAGAATTCAAGAGAGAGAGAGAGAAGAACAAAGAGCGTCTGTTGTTGGCCTAACTAGGCTTTCATCAAAAAGCATAGAGGCCTTTCATTTGCATCTTGATGTCCATGATATTTGTTCCATGACATTTAGGCTTTGATTTTTCTCATACTTTAAGGGATACCTCAGTGTGGTTCATATTTGGTGACTGTCATTACCTGAAAGAGGTTTTATTACAATATGTTGATGGATTCACTCCTGTGTCTTTATTTAATTTTCTGGCAGGGGAAGCCATGCCTGTTGTTAAGAAGCCTGGCAGCACAGTTATTGCAGGCTCTCTAAATGCGCACGGATCTGTGCTTGTCAGTGCCACTCACGTTGGTGCTGATACCACCCTCGCGCAAATTGTGAAACTAGTAGAAGAAGCTCAGATGTCAAAGGTAAGGTGCATCCATTTGTTGACTTGTGGCTCTTAAACCAAAGTGTTTATCTTGGTATTTGACACTGACTTCAGTAGAACAAACCAAATCCCCAAGCATTCAAATTAATGGTAGTCTCTTGACCCAACTATATGTTACCCACAACCCGTCACTAGAAGAGGGAGTTACTTAAGAGCTGATTGTGAGTGAGTCTCATGACAAGAACTTCTCTTACCTCCTGTATTTTATAAATTAGTTTGTTTTTACTTTGTGATTGGTCTCCGGGACATAAGCAAGTTTTTTTCTCAGCCAGTTTGATTTCTGAGACATAACAATCATGTACCTTGAACACTAATGTATTTTCAGTTCTAATAGTGGGTTATTTGTAATGTATAGTTTAACACCTTAGAAGTCAAATTTCAGGATCCTGTTCCAAAATTCTCCCAAGCATGGAGATCTTAAAGCTATCCTGGATCCAAACCCCATTCTCCCCCAACAGTTTTCAAAGGCACCGTCTGTTGTTTCTTTTGCCATTTGCCCACTTCGGTTTTAAACCCATGTTAGCTGCCAAGCTCTCAAAGTGTCTTCAAGCAAGCAAAGCAAAGCGACAGGCTAGATGACCTAAAAAGGTTTCTGCAGCTCTCTGACTGTGTAAACATGTCAATTCTCATCCTCCATTACCCTGAGGGCGGTTGCTGTGACTGTGGGTACCTAACAACAGGAAGAACATGTGTTACTAAGGGTACAACATGGCAAAGCCAGGCCCTGGATTCCTGGGAGATAAACCACAGGAGAACTTTATTGTAAAAAAAAAAAACCAAAAAACCCCGCAAGTACATGGTACATGTTACAGTTGGTCTGGGGACCTTGTATTGGTCTCTCTAGTCCTCCTTCCTGTGAGATCAGATGGTGCCAATGCCAAGCCCCATTCTCTTGCCTGCCCTCAGGGCTGTTTTCTGAAACACTACCTCCATACAGCTTCCTCTGAGCTTAGAAATATTGTAATGGCCAACATCTTATCAACCACAACAGCAAATCCCTGTGCTAACTTGTTAACTTGCAACAGTTTGTTGCTGAGATTTATGCAAATTGCACTATGCCAGCGTAAGAGCCCAATAACATTTTGGCCAGTACGTTATAAACAAATTGCTATCTAGTGATGAGTTACTGCCAGCGTAAGAGCCCAATAACATTTTGGTCAATATGTTATAACAAATTGCTGTCTAGTGATGAGTTACTACTTAAGAGTCATAAAGTCATAAAGTTGGAAGAGACCACTGAGGCCATGCAGTCCAGCCCCCCGCCATGAACGAACATCCATCAGTGTACTCCTAACAGATGGCCATCCAGCCTCTGCTTAAAAACCTCCAAAGAAGGAGACTCCACCACCCTTTGAGGCAGCCTATTCCACTGCTGGACAGCTCTGACCGTCAGGAAGTTCTTCCTAATGTTCAGATGGAATCTCTTTTTCTGTAGTTTGAAACGGTTGCTCCCTGTCCTAGTCTCTGGAGCCCTGGAAAACAAACCTGTCCCCTCTTCAACATGACATCCTTTTTCTTCAGCAATAAGGGAGTGGCAAAGTTACTTTTCATAAGTAATGTAACAAGTAGGAACAAAGTTATTATATCGATATAACAAGTAACAGATTATAGCTGTTTTCCAGTGTTGCTTTTAAAGAACATTGTTTAGTATTTTTACAGGCCTTTTGATATGAATTTTTCAATTATCATGCTGTTCTCTTAATGATCTTTCATAAGATATATTTGTCAGTTGGCTTAATGGCTGAGTCTTCGTATTTCTCTTTCTGTTACGAATAAATGTAAAACCTCTCTCTTTTTTAATTTTTAGGCACCCATTCAGCAGCTAGCTGACAAATTTAGTGGATATTTTGTCCCTTTTATAGTAATCATTTCAACTGTAACTCTGGTCACATGGATCGGAATTGGATTTCTACACTTTGATATTGTGCTGAAATACTTTCCTGTAAGTACTCTTTATTGGTTATACACACCTATAATGACCAAAATCCTATTATGTTTTTGTGTTCGCATAATGCAATTGGAGTAAATCTCGGTGGTGAATTTTTGCAAGTTGAGAAGTTAACGTAGGCATCTGTTGTTGCATGCTGAGTGACACAAATTGGCACACAATGGCAAATGTCTGCGTTAATTTCTTAACTTGTAGCAAATTATTATAAAGATTTATACCAATTGTATTACATCAGCAGGTATAACTAATAGGATTTTGGTCACCATGCTATCTCCCTACCACTCTGGGGAGAGGGCTCCCAAGAAGTGTGTAGGAATAATGTCTTTTTTTTTCACTGTGCATCAGTTAAAACTGTGCTGGCTTTTCACTAGGTATCAGAAGCAAAGACACACTGTAGTTAAGAACTGGGACTAGTCTGCTCAGTTTAGTGTCTGACATTTGTCCTGCTCTTTGATCCACTATACGGATGGGCTGGTTTGCTCCTTTTGCTGATGACCATACAACTTTAGTGCCAATGTGAACCAGACTGGCCCCACTCCAATCTGGCCATCTAGCACACAAGGTCAGATAAGATGATCATGAGAAATAAACAGTGGGAGACACTGTCTTCAAATTCCCAAAAGGATGCCATAAGAAAGAGAGAAAACAGGTTTTTACTACGGTATCTGGGATTGAAGAAGAATAAGCAGATCTGAATATTAGGAATAAAGAATGTTTTCTAATTATGAACAGAGTTGTATAGCACATTCTAGCATAATTCCTTGAGTGAATGTGCTGAAAGCAATTATGATTTTAGACATTTCTAGATTTGCATATGTTGATTAGTAGAGGGAACAAACATTCAAGCATTAATATAATACTGTAGTTCGTCTCCAGAGTTATAACACAATTATCTGGCCATCTAGCACACAAGGTCAGATAAGATGATCATGAGAAATAAACAGTGGGAGACACTGTCTTCAAATTCCCAAAAGGATGCCATAAGAAAGAGAGAAAACAGGTTTTTACTACGGTATCTGGGATTGAAGAAGAATAAGCAGATCTGAATATTAGGAATAAAGAATGTTTTCTAATTATGAACAGAGTTGTATAGCACATTCTAGCATAATTCCTTGAGTGAATGTGCTGAAAGCAATTATGATTTTAGACATTTCTAGATTTGCATATGTTGATTAGTAGAGGGAACAAACATTCAAGCATTAATATAATACTGTAGTTCATCTCCAGAGTTATAACACAGTTATGTCTCTTTTCTAGTACTGTATTTGTTGTTTATTGCTAATAAGTACTGCCTGCTTAATACCACTTTATTTCCCTTGTTTTCTCTTACTCAGCATCATAGTAAGCAAATTTCGAAAGCAGAAGTTGTTGTGCGCTTTGCCTTCCAGACCTCCATCACTGTCCTGTCCATTGCATGCCCTTGTTCCTTGGGTCTGGCTACCCCGACAGCCGTCATGGTGGGCACTGGAGTTGCTGCACAAAATGGTATTCTCATCAAAGGTGGGAAACCCCTGGAAATGGCACACAAGGTTAATATTGTCATTGTTGCCTCATCCCCTATTGTGGTTCTGTTCTGTGAAAGAATTTATAGCCAAGAACTGTTTGTCATTTAAAAAATCTTAAGAAAAGTTTATTGTACTATCTGATGCATATCTACTCAGATATATAAGCCTTAGAGAATTCAGTGGGGCTTACTCTCTGTAGGTGTGAATGAGATTGTAGTTTTAACCTGCACTTTATAGAAGGACATCTATTACAAATACCGAGATTGTAGTTTTAACCTGCACTTTATAGTAGGACATCTATTACAAGTACCCAAAGCAGTGGTTCCCAACCTTGGATAACCCAGGTGTTCTTTGACTGCAATTCCCAGAAACCTTCACCACCAGCTGTGCTGCCCATGGTTTCTGGGAGCTGCAGTCCAAGAGCTGGGTTACTCAAGGTGGGGAACCACTGCTTTCAAGGACACATCTTATATTTTGGAATAGCACTGAGTTGGGAAATGTTGGCCAAAATCCAGTCGCTCGTCCTAGTTAGAATACAGTGGTGCCTCGACTTACGACCATCATCCGTTCCAGAAAATAGTTGTAAGTAAAAATGGTTGTAAGTCGAATCAGTATTTCCCATTGAAATGCATCGAAACCCGATTAATTCGTTCTGACTGTTTTTTGGTTGTATGTAGAGACACCAGTTGTAATTCGAAGCATTCGTTCGCATAGGAACTAATGCAAAACTGGTTAATCTGTCCTCTACCACTAGGGGGAGAATTTTTCTTCTTTTAACCTAAGATGACTTAGGTTTAAAAAAGAACAGGAAAGGAGGGAGGGAGGGAACAAATGGGAAAAGAGGAAAGGAAGAAGGTCATCACTGGGGCACACAGACCTCTCAGACATAGATTTGTGTTGTTAAACACGCAAAGAGAGAAGATAGAGAGAGAGAAGACAATGGGGGGAGGAGAGTTTGCCATGAGTAATGTTCAGAACATCACAGTACACAAACCTTAGGAGCCACAGAATCCAGCAACCATTATTCCAGCAAACAGACCCCCTCAGCACAAAAAGAGAGCAGAGAGAGAGAGAGAGAGACAATGGGGGCGGGGGGGGGAGACCTGAGTCTAAGCCACATTTTACAGCATACCAGCCAACACATCATACCCTTGCAAAAAAGTTCTGATTTTAAAACAAAAGAACTTTGGAGTGACATTTTAAACCCAGACATTTTAAAACAAAAGAGAGGTCACAGTGCCCAAATCCTAGGAGCCACAGAATGCAAAAATAAGTAAATAAAATTTACATTTTATAATTACAGTGGTACCTCGACTTAGGAATGTCCCAACTTGTGAACAATTCAAGTTACAAACAGCTCTGTTTGCAAAAAGTTGCTTCAACCTGTGAACGGAGCCTCAACTTACGAACAACAAAAACTAACCCTTTCCTGCCCTTTTTTGACCTAAGTTCACCTTAGGTCAAAAGAAGAAATTTTTTTAAAAAAATTCACCCTCTAGTGGAAGAGTATGGATTAACTGGCTTTGCATTAGTTCCTATGGGAACTAATGCCTCTACCTACGAACAGCGCCTTGACATATGAACGGAAAACAGCAGGTACGGACTAAATGGTTTTCAAGGCATTCCTATAGGGAAGTTTGCTTTGACTTATGAACTTTTCAACATACAAATGCCATTCCAAACAGATTAAGTTCATAAGACGAGGTACCACCGTACAGTCTAATTTTCACATTTAATTTAAATTTAATATTACAGTCTACTTTTCACATTTTAAATCCATACTGCAAGACCCATCAGAGCACAGAATCATAACCCCCACCCAGCTCAAAGCCACGCTGCAAAAACACCCAGAACAGTTTTTTAAAAGCAGAAAACAGCACCTTACCTCCCTGCAAACACACACACACTCACTCCAAAGCAGGAGGCAGTTCCGAAGCCTCCGACGACAATGCACACTCTCTAACTGCTGGGGCAAAAGAGCTACAAAGAAGCAGCCTCGTGGCCACTTGCAGTTAGAAATTTGAATTTCCCACCTTTTTTCCCTGCCTTTTTCTGTTCATAAGTGGAACCTCCGGTTGCAAGTAGAAGCAAAATTTTGCAACCAGAGCAGTTCGTAAGTCGAAATGGTTGTAAGTAGGGGCGTTCGTAAGTCGTGGCGCCACTATAGGCTTCCCAATATCAATTTGCCAGTATTTTCTCCATAGGAAACCATTGGATGGTCTGTCTAATGGTTTCCAATGGAAAAAACAAAAAATCATCATAAATTAACGAAGTGTCAGAACAACACCAAAATCAGTTTGCATAGGTTTCAGGAGGTGGACTAACCATTGCAATCATTTAAAACAGCTTCCAAACATTGTAAGACACTTTTACAGGAGCGAAAAGGGAGATTGTTGTGTGAAAATCCCCCATAGGAAACATCGCTGTGTGAGGCAGCAAATTTAACAGAAAAAGGCATCGTTGTGTGAATTCATCGTTGTGTGAGGCACTCGTTGTGCGAGGCACCACTGTACTTTAAAGCAGTGGTTCCTTGATCTCTAAAGGTACTAATAAACAAGTACTGTATGTCTTGACTTGGTCCTGAAATGATGCCAATGTCGGTGCCAATCCAGCTTCAAAGGAAGGGATTTTCCACGGGTACACACTGTCTATACAAGACCCACTGCTTGCTCCTTCCATTAGGGAGTCCTCTCTAGAGCTCGGGAGCTCAGCTCTTTAGAGGTCTCAGGTTTGTACAAAGAGCCGTAATCTGCCTGATGTATTTGTTTACAGATAAAGACAGTGATGTTTGATAAAACCGGGACCATCACCTATGGCGTGCCAAGAGTCATGAGGGTTCTCTTGCTCGGAGACGCAGGAGCTACATTGTCTCTGAAGAAGGTGCTTGCGGTAGTTGGCACAGCAGAAGCCCACAGCGAGCACCCTCTGGGAATGGCTGTCACAAAATACTGCAAGGAGGTACATGCCTTTTTAATCAGCATTTAATCCCAGTGTGGAGGGGAGAGTTCAGCTCTTACATGTAACTGAACATTTAGCTGTATTTAAATATGGGCAGGCACTTGTGGCATTTCTGGTGTTTCTGAGCGGCAGATCCTATAAACCCTCACCATTGGCTGTGTTGGCAATTACTGGGCTGCAGACCTCTATTCTAGCTTCACTGAAGGTCCTGCCAAGCGCAAGGAGCCTGCAGGCCCCTGCTTGGTCTCAATTGTCAGAGCTGATCCCAGCCAGAGACAGGAGAGGCCTTCTGGCAGCTGCTGCATATTTTCTGGATGGTGGCGCACTTTCTCTTCCAATTCACTGGCACTTTGCCCAGGGGAGGATATTGAACCAAGTGGGGGCTAGGTGAGGACATCCCCTCAGGATGCTGTGCCTTAACAGCTCATGCCTTTCTCATACATTATCTAGCCTTGGTCCACATTGAGGGTAAGCAACATCACATGGCTTACAGGCTGCATGTGACTCTCCAAGGGCATTTTTACAACTCCTGTAAAGCTACCCCACCCCAAAGCTGTTGGAAATGTTTGGCTTCTTCTCTTTCAATAATACAGAGACTCGTCTATTGTCACTAAGCTGTCTCACCAAAACTGAGATTTCTTTTACCCGCTCCATCTTAAATTGCCACATTTAGATTTCTCTTTGAGATTGGGCATGGACAAAATGTCAGCCTCCATATATCACTGGTTTACACCCTTGGATGTGTTACTGAGGGCTGATGGGAGCTGTAGTCCAGGAATATCTTGGGAGGACTTCATGCTTGCTTTAGGTAAATTTTTGTAACACCAGGTATTGAGTTTTGGTGTCCTTCAATTCTGTGGACATTGGGCTGAATTAAAATGAGGGCTGATGGGAGCTGTAGTCCAAGAATATCTTTGGAGGACTTCATGCTTGCTTTAGGTAAAGTTTTGGAGCACCAGGTATTGAGTTTTGGTGGTCCTTCAATTTTGTGGACATTGGGCTGAATTAAAATAGTTATGTATGTATGTGTGTGTGTGTGTGTGTGTGTGTATTTTGTTTTGTCTATTTGTCTATTTGTTTATTTATTTGAAGGAACTTGGCACAGAGACCCTTGGCTACTGCAAAGATTTTCAAGCAGTCCCTGGATGTGGAATAAGCTGCAATGTCAGCGGTGTTGAAGTTGTGTTGGGTGAATCTGAGCAACACTTGAATGATAACCCCAGTCCTCACCTTGGTATGGGTGACAGAGGTACAACAGAACAAAATTCGCAGCCCTTGATCTCAAAACTGGGAGGTAAGTGCAAGAACAGCTGCCAGTAAAAGGGTCTTAAAATGAGTGGTTGTGGTAATCAATAGTGTTGTTATGGAGCCAGGATTCAAAGGGTCACAGTGTTGAAGCTTTCTGGGATTCCTGGGATGATGCCATTATCTGCCACCCCCTTGGGTTTTCTTGTACTGTACGCATAATGAAACTATTTTGAGATGGCTTCATCTTAGACAAGCAGTGAAAACCCTTTGGTTTTTATCATGACAATTCTTTCTGGTGGAAATGAATACTGTGGCATCTAGTTTATTGATGATACATGTCAAAGCACTTGCCAGTTTGTTTGGTTTTTAATTATCCTTGGGAACGGGGTCTCAAGGATCTCTCTTGTTGATGGTGTGCTTCAAAATTGGCAACTGCCCCACTGATAATCACATGTCTATTTTGACTGCATCGCTTGCTGTAGAACATTAAGATATTTTATGTGTCATACTGGACACAGTATACGTCTTCAGATCAGTTCAGTAGCTCCAAACCCAGGAAGTGGCAGACATCTGACAAAGATTAAATTTTAAAGGACACAAAAAGGAACTCTGTTTTTTTTTTAGTTAACTAGTCTTAATTATAAATGGTGAGGTTTATTCAATTTTAAATACATGTGGTATCTTAGCACAAACATTGACTGCCTTGCATTTAACCCACAAGGTCAGCACCATAATACAACGCAGTATGTATGAAGCCATAATGGTAGGAATCCGTGATTGTCCTAATACAACTAATCCATGGGCTACAGAAAGACAGCTGGGCTTGCTGGATAAAATATGTATATTTCTGGCTTGTATGTTCCCACCAACCTAGCCAACCTGGGCTTTTTATCCAGAATTATTGTTCCTCCTTTCCTATCTCTGCCGCAGTCCAAAAGCGCTCTAGTCCAAACTTCATGCCCAGTGCCGTGAAGCAGGTGGAAATGGATGGCTGTTTTCAAATAAGCTTTTCCCTGTAATGTGTGAAATGTTTAAACAATCCGGGTTTTGGTACAACTGTATTTCTCTGCTTCACAGATGCAGATGTTTCTCAGACTTATTCCGTATTGATAGGAAATCGGGAATGGATGAGACGGAATGGCTTGTATATCTCCAGTGATGTTCATGAAGCCATGACAGGCCATGAAATGAAAGGACACACGGCTATCCTCGTGGCTATAAATGGTACAGTAACCACACCGAAATATTATTTAGGTATTTTAAAGGGAACTGGAGTCCACATGTGTCAGATGGTGGAGTGGAAGGATGGAATAGCTAGATTGCAGTGGGTCTCAGCTGGAGAAATCCTGGTGGGATTGCTGTTCAGTTCTTGATATGGGGTTCTTTAAAAACAGAAAGGAATAAATACTATCTGTTGTGTTGCTTGATTTGGGCTGCTTAATAAATAAGGTTGTTCCCAGATAATTTTGTTGTGTGGCGGCAAACAAATAAGGAAATAAAGAAATGGATTTCCTTCTGTAGGTGCACTTTGTGGCATGATTGCAATAGCAGACACTGTGAAGCCAGAGGCAGCTTTAGCGATGCACACATTGCAAAATATGGGAGTGGATGTCGTGCTTATCACAGGAGACAACAGGAAAACAGCCAAAGCAATTGCAACTCAGGTATGTGTCCTGACTTGACAAGTACATGAAAGAGCGATCAGCCCCTCCGATGGGGCTGGTCAAGGTTGGATACTTTAACCTTATCTGTTTAAGAATATTGGAAAAATTATAAGGGTGCAGAAAATTGCCCTAAAACTGCCCCCAAATTACAGCACTTTTAAAATTGCAGTGTGAAAATTTGTTTTCTATAAGTGTTCCAAAATAATGAACTATGAACTGAATTCATGTTTCTTAGCAACTGAATAATATCTTTTTTGTTTTTCAATTTGTAAGCAGAAATATGATTATAATAAACATTTGACGGATGAGAACAATATTGTACTATAAAAGCATATATATGTTATGCAATAATATGGGTATAAATTGTATCCATGTGGCAGGCCTTGCCATCAGCTTATACAGCAATCAGCATCCCCAGTGATCAGCTCCCACGCCTGTTAGCTCCTCTAGCTATCTGCTGACTCAGTGGATAAGAAAGACATTTTGGGGTTATGATGAGGTGCACACTGAGTGTAAACATGGGGAATAAAATACACACTTGCATGAGGCAAATTGGGAACATAGGGAAAAAATGAATTTGTAAATTTCTCTTTAGAAATTATATATAGACGTGTGTGTGTGTGTATAAACTCAACTTTGTTGAGTTTTAAGCTTCTTTTTTGTTCAAGCTATTAAAAAAAGAAGAAAATGAAGAAGAAGAAAGTTTAAAATTCAGCAACTCACTGTGACTGATGGGTGTCGTTAGCTGGTCTTTTGTGTGAAGTGATCACCGGTCCTTGTAGCTGGCTAGAGTTCATTGACCTTTTGCAGGCTATATTTTTCAGTGCTGGGAGCCAGGCTTTGTTTTAAACTTCCTTCTTTTTTGTTGAAGCTCTTGGAAAAAAAAGAAAAAAGTTTAAAACTCAACAAAGCCTGTCTCCCAGCACTGAAAAATATAGCCTAAAAGGTCAACAAACTCTACCCAGCTACAAGGACTGGTGATCACTGTACACTAAAGATCAGCTAACAACACCTATCAGTCACAGTGACCGATAATCTCTCCTTGTTTTTCCTAATATTGTCAGTGCTTTCAACAACAACAACAAAATCTTAACCTTCTGTCTCATTCATAGTTAACAGGAGATACCTTTCTCTATTTAGGTTGGGATCAGGAAAGTATTTGCTGAGGTCCTCCCATCTCACAAGGTAGCCAAGGTCCAGGAACTCCAGACAGCAGGGAAGAGAGTTGCCATGGTTGGAGATGGAGTCAATGATTCACCAGCCTTGGCAAGAGCAGATGTTGGCATTGCTATTGGAACAGGCACAGATGTTGCCATAGAAGCGGCAGATGTGGTGCTGATTCGGGTAAGCTCACCACATGTAAAACAATGGGAGTTTTTCTATGAGTTTTTTTTTTCAGAAGTTGGAGACTCCATTGACCTTTGAGATGAAAAATAAATTCTCCTGCTTTTCCCCTCGCAGAATGACTTACTTGATGTGGTTGCAAGTATTCATCTCTCCAAGAGGACAGTAAAAAGAATCCGAATAAATCTGATCTTGGCCTTAATATACAATCTGCTAGGCATACCCATAGCAGCAGGTAAATTATTCTTAAAATGGTTCTTAAGCATTTGGGCGGATAATGGAACAGAGAAGAATCGCTGGCTGTTAAGAAACATCCTGGACTTGGTGAAATTACTTCTTGTATTGTAATATTCAGAGTCAACAGCTACTATTGCCAGTGGTCATGCTGGCTGGAGGATTCTGGGAATTACAGTCCAAAAAAGTAACTTTTTCAAGTTCTTCATGATTCATAGTAGGAAAAAAACCTCTTTTTTTCAACTAACGATAGGTGACATGATAAGTGTTCATGATTTAGGAAGTAGGGCTGGGTTGTGTGAAAAGGGGGGGAGATGTGAGTAAAAACGAAATAATAGAAGTGAAGGAGTTGAGCACCTTAGCATCTTGATCATGTAAGCTTTGCTGGGTTGGATTTCATTTAAGGCTTGCACAGAGTCATCTTTCAGTTAATATTAATTTAAACTCCTCCAATTGTTTATTAATTTAAACAAAAGATCAATGTTTGATTGTTTGTGTGTGCCTTCCTGCCTCAGGAGTCTTTATGCCTGTTGGCATCGTGTTACAACCATGGATGGGGTCAGCAGCTATGGCAGCATCTTCTGTATCTGTTTTGCTCTCTTCCCTCCAGCTTAAATGGTATGTCTTGCTATTAGCGTTGTCCATGATTTTGGAGAGATTTTGCACAAGAGCCTTTAGGAGAAGAGTTTCTGGTTTATTTTTAATTGAGGGGCATCAGTCAGGCCTGTGGTTCCTAGCCTTGGCCCAGTCATGCTGTACCTTATGATTGGCCCACTTTACATAATCAGTGGGAGAGTCTGGTAATTGTTTTCAAATCAATTTGAACATACGGCAACCCTTTCTGTACCTTATGATTGGCCCACTTTACATAGTGGGAGAGTCTGGTAATTGTTTTCAAGTCAATTTGGACATACGACAACCCTTTCACAGAGGTTAAACTGCTGTACTGCAGCCAAAACTGTGCTCATGACCCAGGGTTGAATCTCAGGTAGCCGGCTCAAGGATGACTCAGCCTTCTATCCTTCCGAGGTCGGTAAAATAAGTACCCAGCTCGGGCTGGGGGGATGGGGGCAATGTGTAGCCTGCATAATTAACTTGTAAACTGCCCAGACAGTGCTTGAAGAGCTACGGGGCAGTATATAAGCAGCATACCTTGCTTTGCTTCCCCCCCAAAAAAAAGGTTTTCTAGGTAGAGGGTACTCAGAAGTGGCTTACCATAACCTTCTTCTGAAGGCATTGCTGGACCTGTGCAACTTGCCAAAGGCCATATAGGCTGGCTCTTCTCCTAGGAGGCACAGTGAAGATTCAAATTCCTGACCTCTGGCTCCACAGCCAGATATCTAAACCACTGAGCTATTCAGCCAGCTCTGCCTAGCTTCCTATTCAGAAAAAAAAGGTCCAAGTTATCACTGGAGCAGGAACAGGATGTTTGAGTGGAGCTAGGCCTGGCTAAGCCTTAGAGCCTTTTCGTTGAGGCCTGTCTTTAAATATTGTTTTAATGTTGCTTTAAATATTAGTTTGTCGTGATGTAAGCTGCCTTGGGTGCTTTTTAAGGAGAAAGGCAGGGTAAACCTTTAAAATAAACAAGTAAATTTCTCCTGGGTGAGCCACATTTGGGTATCTCTCCATCAGGTATAACTCCTAGAATGGAGAATTATGGAATCTGTAGCCAAAGAACTCAGAAAATCCCATTTCTCGTCTGATTTCTGCAGTTCTGACATCTCAGTTGGATAGTGTCAAGTACTCACTGCAGAAGGCAACTATTTGCAGCACAATTGTCCTTTTCTGTTGGAGCTTCTAACATGTGAAAACATGTATGTTTTTGTCTGCTTTCCACAGCTACAAAAAACCAGGCACGGAAACATACGAAGCACGAGCTCATGGACGCATGAAGCCCATTACTCCATCCCAAGTCAGTGTCCACATTGGAATGGATGATAGGAGACGAGGCCTTCGCAAATCAGAGGCTTGGGATGATGCCAGTCAAGTATATCTTTGTTCTTTGACTTCAGACAGATTGGGGGATTCTTTAGGTAATGAAGCAGACAAGTGGTCTCTGCTCACAAGCAGCCAAGATGAAGACCAGTATATTTAAGAAGGCTGCGCTCTGTGACTGATCATAATATTCTGGGACTGGACTACTTTACTCTGTGGCTCTTCTACAAAAGAGGCGTGGGATTCTTGCGTTTGGCTTCCAGAGTGCCTGTAGGGTGTGTTTAGTGCTCAGATGGACGTGGAGGGAGCACCTTTAAACTGATGTAGGTCTCTGAGCCTGCTGCTTAAGAATGCCACTTTAATTTGGAATTTGATCTCTCTCTGTCCCACGCTGGAGTCAGGGGTCTAGTTTCTGATATGAACTATTCCTTCGAATATAAGTGCATTTCTATTTTAAGCTCTCCGCAATGCAGTGGGAACTCTGAAAAGCAGAGCAGTGAAGAGAGAGCCTCCTGGATAGGATCTGGCTTATTAAATACATACTGCCACCAATTTATAACAGAGAAGGGAGACAACTTAATTATAGTGATTATATGAAGCAGCATTCTGTTAGGATCTGCCAATCACAGGCATCAACACTCTCCCTCCCCCAAGACCTCTCATCGCCTTTTGTACAACAGTTGGGTTGTTGGAGGGAAGAAACAAGCGGGCTCCGCAGTTAAACGGCAGCAAACCTGACAGGGCTCCGAGGTTCCCGGGTCAAGTGTGTCAGAGTTGGGAGGAGCCAAAAAAGCACCTCGGTTCTCCCCAACTTACTGACTGGCTTGTACTGTGGCAGCATGAGGGCTAAGCTTTTGTGGGCAAAGTCTGGGTTCCTGTGACCGAGAGGGGCCCCAAACGATGCCCCTTGTACAGTGCTGCCAAACCAAAACATGGTCCTCACAGGTGAGGCTCTGCTGCCCCTGCCATCTTCATTTGACAGGTTGTCGCAGAATGAGAGTGGCAGTGAGCCCAGCCAATCAGATGGTATCTTTCTGAATGCACCAGTGCCACCTATCCCAAAAACCGTTTGTTGCCACTTTCTCTCTTTCTGGGGCAATTATTCAACTGAAGATGGTGGGCTGCCAGAACGGTGCTTTGTTTTGTAGCTTGCCATGCTTACTGCTACCTCCTGCGCTATTTATTCACCTGCATTGATTAGTTCCCTCCTTTCTCTCAAATTTGGCCCTGATAGGGTCATTGCTTATAATGACAGAGTCTCCCCCCCTCTAGCTTTGACTTTATTATTATTTTTCACTAAATAAAGAAATGAACTTCGGTTTTCATAAGAGAGTCTATTCATTTCATCTTTCTTAAAAGCCACTTGTGTATTCAGATGCTTTGTAAAGCCAAGTGTATCTTCCTTTAAGTTGCTTCCCAATTGGCATGTTGGTTTGAATAACAGTGAAGAATTTTTTAAAATATGTTTTTTGTCACTTTCCAAGCTTTAAACTTCACGAGCTGTCACAAGCTGTGACAGATAGATTATTGCTCTATTCTCAATGAAATTCTAGTCTCCAACCTCCCTCCATCTCCTGTTTCTCATGTAAAATAATAAGTATTTGAAAAGAACAGTCCCACAAACACGAACATTCAGATAATTACCTAGAAAATTTAAGAGCTCACTAGGGTAGGGTAGGCGGACAAGCGGCGCAACAGGAGGCAACAATCAACCTCCATCCTCGCCAGCTTCATTTTAATTGCATCTCCAGACTAAAAGTAAACTTTAGCCAATCAGATGGCACTTTGGAGGGCATTTTAGCCCCAGTACTGGCTATGTGTCCCCAAACATACATCTTGTGTTGTCAGGAGGGAGCATCATAATTGTTGCTTTATACCCAGAAGTGGAAGTGTTCTGGGCTGGGCCCATTGCAGTATTATTTAACACACAAATAATCTCCTTTCTCTTGACTACAAATGTGGGGTAAGTAGTGGTGGTGGTAATAGTAAGTAAATAATATTTTTAAATGTTAGGATATACTGTAGGAGAAGTGTTAACAGAGCAAACACCTACACCAAATGGCAGCTAACCTAATGTGTGGATTCCATTCTTTAAAAGCAGAACAGTTTTCAGCACTCACTTTCCCGCTTTGGAAAGAAATCACACCCACAATTGTCCCACACCCTACCCCATTTTGTGCAGCATCATTGATGTCATCTAGACATAGCCAAAAATGGTCCTAAAGCAGCGCTTCCCAACCTTTGGGTCCTCAGATGTTCTTGGACTACAATCTCCAGAAATTCTGGCCAACACAGCTAGTAGTGAAGGCTTCTGGAATTTTTAGCCCAAGAACACCTGAGTTACTCAAGTTTGGGAACCACTGTCCTAAAGGACTAATATAGATGATCACAGAAGCCAAAAGCAATACAAAATAATGTGCCTGGAAACGCTACAGAAAATCACAAGTCCAGCTGGCCAAAAATATACTGTACATACCACATACTCATGGCAAAGAATGGTATCGACTTGTGAGTACCACTGTCATGTAGTTGATAGAATAAATATCAAAAGGAACAGCAAGAAGCATAGCACAAACAGAAGAATGCATACCCACCTAAGTTGCTCCCTAAGGTGGTGATGCAGGGAATCATGGCTCTCCCCTCACTTCTTGAGAAGACATGGACCCTTTTGCTTTTGTATGCTGTTAGAAAAGCAGGCTTTTGACAACAGCAGCAGAGGGCTTTAGGTCAACAGGCCCAGGATTCCTCAACATGGCCAGACAGCTTGCAGAGGCTCCAAGACAGGCCTCTCTCGATGGTTCTAGATTCTAGTTCCCATCTGCCTTTGAGGACCATGGTGAGGGATTATAGGAATAACTGTTCATCATTATCTGGATCTTCATGGTTTGAAGGGTCCCTTTCTGACCCTACTAAATCCACCACCCTTCAGCCTGCTGTGGCTGTCATGGTTACAGCTTCTGGATCCTGCTGTTGGTTGCCATCACTTGGCACAATGGCTGTTCAATTCACTGCTCCTCTCATGGACAGGTTTGCCCAGGGTGTGAGCAGGAATGATGGTATTGAAAAGAATCTGGGCCACCACTTGGGTTTCTGCCAGCTGCCTGCCATGTTAGATGCCCCCAAATGCAACATCTTACTTTCTCCAGATGATGTTAAAACTGTAGTCCCCGCCTACCCCAGAGAACCTAGTTCATGAGGAGGGGTTTCCATTCAAAAGCCTTTGAGCTAGAAACCTCGTCAGAAAGACATGTCAGCAACGTGAAGGGGGCACCAATACCAGACTGAAGCTCCCCTAGACTTTCACACAACCCCTCAGTGAGCAGCTGCACCACTGGATGCTGGCTTGTGCAACTACCATGTCACACATGATGTGCAGGTGTGGCCCTTAGTTTGATGTAGAACACTCCTGCACTCCGTGGACTCAACATTAGACAAAGTTTCTTAGGCCATTACTAAATATAAACTCCTTCAATAATTATGTTTTATCTGCTGTACTTCCTAACTGGCTAACCAGAGCCACTTAACTCATTACCATGTTTATTTCTTTATTTAAAATAGTTTCTTCCTGCCTTTCTCCTTAAAAGGTATTTTTGGCCATGTATAAATGCATAAATATTTGCCATGTAGTCTCACTCTTATGTCTGAGGAAGTGAACTTGATCCATGAAAGCTCACATTAAAATATAGCAGTTAGTCTTTAAGAGGTCAAAATATGTTTTCATCCTTTATTTTTTCTTTTTCCTTTGTTTTTGGCTGACAAGTAGTTCCTTGGGTTATTAATATTATGCTTCTGCTTCTAAGTAGCAGCCAGAGCATTATTGTCTCTAAGCAAATTTCGCTTTTTCCCCCTCACCTCCTGGGGAGAGACCAGTATTTTGCAACCCTGTGTGCTTCAACTTCTAAACAGAGATGAAAGTCGAGTAATATGGAAAGACAGGACCTGTTCCATTTGTTGGTGGTGCTATGGCAAGAGTAATTCTGTCCATTTATTACACATTATAAGAGTGATTAACAAACTGCATCTTTCAAAAGAATCCAGAAAAACCTTGAATGAGCTACTGTTTCATTCTTATTACATATTAATTTATTACCTTTAGACCCCCCTTTTGTCCTCCGTGAAGCTCCAGGTTGCATGTATAGCTTTTCCCTGCCTTATTTCTCCTCATGACAAACTTCACACCTTAATGGAAGCTAGAACCCAGTTGTTCCAAATTCCAGTCCAATGCTGTAACCACTATACTATATTTCCTCCCTGAAATCTATACTCAAGGCCTCCTTGTACAGTGTATAATTAGTTAAAAGGGAAGGTGCCTTCCCTTAGCAAAATTTGCTGGTCAGCCCTTGTATTTCTTGAACTAGAGCGCAAAACATAATTCATTAATGGAAATGCATGCCTTGCAGAGGGAAGACACATTTCAGTTTAAAATAACCTCCTTGAAGGATCTGCAGAACTATTTAGTATTGTTCTTTCTTGATTTCTGTTATTTTGCTTTTATTTGACAATTTGATGTCTTTTGTTTGTTATTGATTGTTTCTTTTTATGTAAACCACCCAGAGTAGTGCCCAACATTAATCAGGCAGTGTACAATTTTTCAAATAAATAAACAAACTACGTGTTGGCATTTAGATACTGGATTTTCTTTTAAAAAAAATAAAAGTTAAAAAAATAACGGTAAATGCATTTTTTTAAAAAAAGAGTCCGCTACTACCCTCTAGCGGCACAATGAATACCTGCAATTTCTGGGTTGTGTTATGAACTGAACGTTGGAGTGGCGAGGGAGTAAAGGGAAGAGTTTGCCTCATAACGAGCAGAAGGGAGATGCCTCTTTCAAAGTAGAAGCTATTAAGCAGCAAGTGGTCCCCAAACGGAAGGCATCAGAAAAAAAGAAAAGAAAAGAGGTAACGAAACACCTCAACGGCTTCAGAGCCAAAGACTTGGGCAGCCAAGACAACCGATGGCAGTTCCGGTGTTAACGGACACCACATGCTTCTGTTGAATTTCAGCTGTGATTTCTTCTCTATCATCTCTCATCCCAAAAAGGTGAGTAAAAAGATGATATTAGAACATGGTTATTATCCACAAATAGGAAGAATGTGGATTGGTGGTAACTTTGGGAGGATGAAAGAATCCACACAATATTCTTTACTGTTGCAGGAATGAAAGTGAATGTGCCGTTGATGTGTCACTCTCAGGCAATAAATGGTACAAAACAGGTATCTTGTGGATCAAATTGTACATCTTGTCAGGTTACACAAAGCTCTTCATCAGCTGGAATGGAGTTGCTGATTTTCAATTTGGCACACGTCAGAATTTGCACTCTTAGTGGTACCCTGCTTGTTATATTTGGTCAGCTTCTTGTAGCCCCTGCAAGTCTGGACGCCTCAGTAATATTTGCAAGAATTTTGCTTTTCTGTAGTTGAAATAACAGGAAGATTATATATTTGCTAGATCACACAGATATACAGGCTAGTGGATAACGTGATGGACTATGACTCGGGAGCTCTGGAGTCAAATGACACTTGGGGAGCAAGGTAGAGTAGAATGAGTAAAACCACTCTTAATCCCACTTCCCTTGAAAGCCCTATTAGGGTTGCTATGAGCCCATTAAGATTTGACAGCGCACAACACACCCACACGCAGAAGATTTCTGATCATTAGGTCTATTAGTTATGTTGCAGAATAAGAAAGAAAGGAAAGCAAACATTTTAGCACTTTAAAGACTAAAGAGTTTTATTTCAGCGTCAGCTTTTATGGATCCAAATCAATTTCCTTGGACACTGGAGTGCAATTAAATGTCCTGTATATTTATATGCAATCCCATGTACGTGTGCATGCACGCGCGCGCACACACGCACACACACACAGAATTGCTCTAAGTCAAACTGCCCCCCCCAGAGTAGCCCTGCTGTTGCACCAAACAGATCCCATGTGGGCATGGAGCAAGAGCCAGCTGGTTCATGAGCTCCTGTGTCTCGTGTGATTGTGGGGAAAGAGTTCACACGCTGGACTGTGCCACAAGTGGCTCAAAATGTAAGTTATTGCCATGTCTGATTGCACTGTAATATACACTGCAGGACATTTATTTGCACTCCTGTGTCTGAGGAAATTGATTTTGGTCCACAAAAGCTGGCACTGAAATCCAACTGTTATCTTTAAAGAGTTACAGCGTTTTGCTTCTTTTAAAAAAAATTTTTCTTTGTCGTTTTTGTTGTTGTTGTCGTTGTTCCATGTAAGGAGACGTTCTATGATTCGGCTCATTTTAAACTCTAGCTGCATGCTACTAGGTATTATTAAAATCCTAACTCTTTTCCGAGGCTTCGTGAGGAAGAACGCAAGTGGAATGAAGGGGGAAAGTTCTCTGCGTCAATAGCAGCTGTCTTGCCTCCTGTCAGGGAGATGCTGAGGTTGCATCCTGCATTATCACATTAAGCAGTGGCATCTCCAAGATCCTTTCTTTTAATTTCATGATTCTGTGTGACCTCACTTCCACTTAAAATACCTTCCCAGATGTTCTTCTGGGCTTTTCTGTCACACCCATGAAAGGCTGCAGAACTCTTTGCCAGGCAGGGCTTTGCAGAGCCCCTGGTGGGTGGGTGGGAAGCTGGTGTAAGAAAAGGAGCAAATGATGCCCACAGATAATAACTATTGGTGCATGGCAGGAACGCTATGGCCATGGCACGTCAATTCTGTATGAACTTCAGATGTGAGGTGAGTTCCGGGAGCAGACATTCTGTAGGCACCATTCAGACTGTTCCACTCAAACAATAAATTGTTGCCTAACTAGATATTTCAACCAAACTACAGTGATCTCTATTTATTTATTTTTCTATATATGTGCGCATTTGCAGTAAGCTATAGAAAACACAAGGCACAGGGCATTTCAGAGAATGATTAATCACAACATCATATTTATTTGTTTATTTATTTGATTTATATCCCATTTTTCTCCCAATGCTCTGTCCCAAGGTAGTTAGCTGGTCACAGTATTCTGCGACATTGTGATCAGCAATGTTCAATTACATTTACATTACATTTACATTACAATTTCAATTACAGCAATAATATCTTAGTGAGGTGATATTTGCATATATTGGTTTAAATTAGCATATGCAATTTAATGCAGAATGCCTTCCTTTTTTGTGAAGAATGTCCTCCTTTTTAATGTCCCTTGGCATCCAAGTCCTCCTTTTTGGTGACAGAGCAGGGGTTGCCCTATGTGTCAGAGGCTTGGAATCAACTTTCAAACATGTAAATATGACTTTTTTTCCTCTTGATCTGAGCACACATTAAATGCTTTTCCTGAGTTT